TAATAGACTGGATGGTCTCTCTCCTCTTTAGTCCAGAGTTTCCAAATAGACTTTAATCCATCTGACCTCAGAACAGTTCTGGACTTCACCTCAGTCCATTTTAAACGAGCTCTGGTCCAGAGAAGACAGCAGAGGTTCTAGATGGTGTTCACTATTGGCTTCTTCTTTGCTTGATAGAGCTTTAAGCAGCATGTGTGGATGAACTTTGTTCCCGGACAATAATCTGTGGAAGTGTTCCTGAACCCAGAGCAGAACCAGACCTGGTTTTACTGCAGTGGCCCCAGAGGGCCAAAGATTCAGGTCTCTCTTGTAAATGAGTCCTCCAGGCTCAAAGGGATTTACCTGTATAAATAAAGGTTGAATGAAAAAAAAAAAAATCACGACCGTCCAATTTTGACTTTCAGCCTCGTCCTTTGAGCTCAGAGACTTCTACAAATTATTTTCTAACGAGGGACTTTATTCTGAAATTGTTCTTTTATTTGTAGACACTTTTTCTCCGACTGCTGAACCTCTGCCCGTCTTTACTTCTGAGAGATTCAGCTTCTCTAAAATGCTCTTTTTACAACCAGTCTGACCTGTGGGCAGTTTACGTGATCCAGTGCAACATGCTGCTCCTCCAGCCTTCCCTTTCAGGTCGCTGCGAGCTGAATCGTGTCCCCAGCAGTCACTGAGGCGGGGGACAGCCTGGACAGGTTGCAAGTCCATCACAGGGACACAAAGAGACGACCATTCACCTCTCACCCACATCTAGGGACGATTTAGAGTCACCAATTAACCCAACAGGCATGTTTCTGGTCAGTGGGAGGAAACCCACGCATGCACGGAGAGAACATGCAAACGTACTTTCACAACCTGAACTCCTGTCCCAACTGGTTTCAATGTGTTGCTGCCATAAAAATTAAAAATTTAATTAGATATGTTTACTGTGCTTTATAGTGAAAAAAAAACAAAACGGGTTAAAAAAATAGATTAAAAAATCAACGTATTCTGATTTTATTTACGTTTTACACGACATCCCAGCTCTTTCAGAATTTGGACTGTAAACAAGATAGGCCACTAATATTCACAAAGTTGCCTTTAAAACAGACTTTTCCCGTAAAGACATGAAGAAACTTGATGCAACCACACCCTGAGCTCCAACAAAGAAAATTAGCCCCCGTCGTGCTTCACTTACTTGAACTTGTGGCGGCCACATGGGCGAGGTACGGATGACTGCTGCCTGCATGGAAGGAGGGCAGATGGGGTGCCAGCATGAAGACAAGCCAGATAACGTTACAGAAAATGAAAGGGAGACAAACGCTTGGGAGGTTATTTGACTCGGCGCCCGTCTCGTCTCAACGCATACCTTCAAGACGCTGCTTCTACTCGCCGCCGCCGCGCTCCTGTCCAGAGCAGCCGGTTCAGACTCGCAGTCTGATCGCGTTTTATTTAATCAGCGATGAAAGCTCCGCTCGTCCGCCCGCAGAGGCAGTCGAGCATCTGAGCGGAACTGTATTTCATCGCAAATGAGCTGTAATTGCTCATGATTGTAGTTGTAACTACAGGTAATTATCATCTCTGGCTGCGACTCCAAGCTGATGCAAGTTTGATTCAACTTCTATTGCATTCGGAGTGAGCACGTTTAATTCACCTGCGTCCCTGGGTTTATGTGCAGCAGCTCGGGCCTTGGCGGTAGTGGTTGTTGTTGGTGGGGGTGCAGTGGTGGTGGTGGTGGTGGGTTCAGGAGTTGTGGTGGTGGGTTCAGGTGCGGTGGTTGTGGGCGGCGGCGTGGTGGCCTCCTTCTGACCTGACGGGAGTTGAGAGATGAAAGCAGTCATGTAGGGAGGAAAAGGCCTCCGCGCCGCAACACATTCCGCTCGTTCTTCGCAGAACGCAGCGATGCAAAGCCTCTAAGCTGAGCAAAGTCCAACGAGCGTGGGGATATTTATTCAACGACCTCTGGTCCCCAGAACGCTTTGAAGCAGTGATTTAAAAACATGCAAACCTGGAACAAGTGAAGCTTTCAAAAGCAGAGTTTGCATCGTGTTCAGCTCCTAACAGCCGTAATTATTTATTTAGAGTTAAACGTTTTAGGAGCAATTTTTAAAACTGCACCCGTTGCCTGAAGATCCCACTTTTTTATACTTTTTTAATAATAATTTGGGACATTATTGTAATAATAAAAGCTGATAAAACAGTAAAGAGAACCAAAATCTAAAGAAATGCTCATTGCCGTCACCACGGTAACCACACACCTCTCTTTCTAAATGAGTCAGACAGGAACGCAGCCTAAAAAGTAAGCCTCGACCAAACAGACCCAGCGTAAAAGCTAAGTTAAGTTGTCTTCACGTTTCATTTTTTATGGTTCTTTAGTGGAAGTTATGACAAATAAAGAGTCTTCGCTCCCGGTGTTGAAGTGAAAATGCTCAGAAATGGAGGTCAGTGAGAGTTTGGGTGAGGGAACTCTGCGAGGATCTGAGAGAAAAGTCTTAGTCCTGCAGCGAGGAGAGTCAAAACGGGTGAAAGAAGACAGAAACTCTTACATGTTGATGTTTAAATTGTACTGAAAAACTGAAGATAAAAAGTATTTGTTTGCAACATTTTGGAAAGTTCAGAAGTTGAGTTCTGGTTTTTTTTTCTGTTTCAACCCCGTTGGAGTTTTTTTTTTTTTTATTTTGGATTCCTCGTCTGCAGCAACATTTCAAAATAAAACAAGTTTCCTGATGTTGATCTGCGTCAACAGGCCTGGCTTTTCTTACCCATTCAGCTAAAATCCCACTGCTTTGTATTTCAGTCATGTTTGCATTTATTCATTTTAATTTATTTATTCAAATTTAATTTTCATTTTAGCCAAAATTTTACTACATTTAACTTTTAACAATCTACTTTTAGCATTTAGCAACAATTTTGCCCCGTTTAGAATTTTCACTTCTGTTTTGCTTATTTTAACTTTTATCTATCGTTTAACTACATTTGGTTTTTAGCTACTGCTTCTCTACTTTTAGCATTTAGCTTTGATTTTGCTCTGTTTAGCTAGTTTTAGCTATTGTTTCGCTAATTTGAGATTTTAACTGATTTTACTAGATTTAGCTTTCAGCAACCTTTTGGCTACTGTTAGCATTTAGCTAGAATTTTGCCCCATTTAGATTTTTAACTTCTCTTTTGCTTATTTTAGCTTTTAGCTCGTTTTACTACATTTGGTTTTTAGCTACCGTTTCTCTACTTTTAGCATTTAGCTGTGGTTTTGCTCCATTTTGCTTCAGCTACTGTTTAACTAGTATTAGGTTTTAGCTATTATTTTGCTAATTTGAGCTTTTACCTATGATTTTACAACATTTTGCTTTTAGCAACTGTTTTGCTACTTCTAGCATTCAGCTACAATAATGATAGCATTTTTTCCTTCAAAATGTATTTTTCATTTTATTTCATTGTAGCCAAAGTTTTGCTACATTTAGCTTTAAGCTTTGGTTATTCCTCTTAAGATCTTTAGCTTCTCTTTACTTTATTTGAGCTGTTAGCTGCTGTTTTACTACATGTGGTTCTTGGCGACTGTATTGAGACATTGAGCTTTTAGCTACTAAGATGTTTAAAGTGTAAACCATTAAGCCAGTTCTTGTGCAGTTGGTAAAAACCAGCTCTTTGTGTCTCAACAACAAAACAAACGTAGCATTTCGTGTGAAACTTGCTTGTTTTGACGTAGGTGGGTCTCGAGGGAACGTAGTCCAGGGTCGACGGGTAGAGGACTCCTTTCTTGGGTTTCCCCACTGAAACGCCACAGAGTCAGCTCTCGTTTTGTGGATGTCCTCGTTTGTTCTGATCGTGTTTTCACTTCGCCCTCGTTACCTGAGACGACAAACGACTCCCTCCACTTGGGCAGGGACAGCGATCGCACCCCGTTGGAGTTGCTGCCTTTGTAGACGTTCTGCCCGGCCATCTTCCTCACGATTACCTTCCCTCCCGAGTTTGTGATGACCCCGCTGTGGGAACAACGAGGGTTTGTTTTAGGGAGGCAGGTGGAACGGTGAGGCTACAAGGAGCAGAGGTCACAAAGGTGCAGGACTTCAAGGACTTAGGGTCGACTGTCCAGGAAAACGGGGAGTGTGGTGAAGAGGACGGATAAGATTAGGATGAGATCATCAGAGGTTCAGCACAGGCTGAAGGACTGGGAGATAAAGTTAGAGACCAGACTGAGATGGTTCGGACATGTCCAGAGGAGGGACAGTGGAAAAAGGATGTTACACAGCCGAAAGAAAAAGAGGAAACGTGTTACGAGACGGTTTCAGTGAAGTTTCTTTCCGCACCTGTGGATGGCCGCGTTACAGATGCTGGAGATGGAGGCGAACACGCCCGTCCCGTAGACCTGCTGCCTGGTCTCCCTGCACTGCGCCGGACATCGAGCAATGAACTCCGGGAGGTTGATCTTACCTGCTCGCACGTCGCACTCGATGTCTGGAACCACTGAGGACACAAAAGAGGCAAACCGGTCCAAAACGGACACTTCCCACACAAAAAAAACAAAAAACAGAGCCGTTTGAGCCGTCAGAGTCTGAACATCTGAAAATGAGCTGGTTTGTCTATAAAGCAGTTTTATGAAGCCATTCATTGAGCTGACGGTGGTCGGGGAACAACCACAGAGGCTCTGATTAGTAATACAGTGGCTCAGACCGCTGTCTGCGATGTATATTGTTCCTCGGCCTCTTCTTTTCCACATCACAAACAGAACAGGTCCTCAACAGAACGTCGGTCGTCCTCAGCTATGATCTAACTTCATGCATGTAAACTAACTGGAATAAAACACACATTGAATTTTGTTTCTGCGATCACCATTTTTCAGCGTGTTTAGATCAGTGATCACGTGTTTAGTGATGTCTTGAGAACACGAGTGAGTGGACTGAAAGGCCGGAGCTGCTGAGGATTCCAGCGTGTGGATCGGGTCTACCTTGCTTTGGCTTCTTGTTCTTTGACCCGTTTGGCTTGGCCCAGCTTGCACAGAACAAGAAGAGCACTGTGGGTGAAGCAGAGGGCATGTCACTTTTTAACACACAAAGAAAAACAACTATCAGAGTTGTTTGTTTCACTGTTCACACAAAGACCAGGCGTAAGTGTTCATGTATGGAAGCCCATTTCTGCCACTTTTATAAGTAAATAAAAAAAGCTTCATTAAGTCAATGTCAAACTCAATTACACAAGTGAGCCAAGAGTTTTTAAAAACTTACTTGCTTCATTTTAAATAGAGTTTACAGTTTTTGCTTTAAATATGGTTAATTCTCATGGTAGCTCTGCACAGAGCATGCTCAGTGTTTATTAAGAAAGAATGAGAAAATGAGAAGTGATAAAGACTCGATCTATCTCAGACCTTAAACATCTAAAATATCGTCTTGGGGGTCAGATAAAATGTTAACGAGGTACATGTGCCAAGTCATAATAATAATAATAATAATAATAATGTCATCACAATGTCAGCACTGTATGTTTCCATACAATGGCGAAATTAGTCTCTGCATTTAACCCATCCACCCCCAGGTGGTGCAGTGGGCAGCTATTGAAAGCGCCCGGGAGGCTTTTGGGGATGAGGTGTGCTGCCCAAAGACACCACGTGATGTGCAGTGACTGGGGATCGAACCTGGGACTTTTGGGTCCCAAGCCGGCTGCCCTGCCTCTACACCATCTCGGCCCCCATGAAATACCATGTCAAAATGATAAAATACCACTTCATAAAAATGACACAGCATGTTATAATTATAAGCTGCTGAGTCATACTGAACGTTTATATGCTTTGCCATTTTTTGTGACATAGTATCATCATATGATGAGTCATAATTTTAAGATACAAAGTCATATTCATGAAATGTCAAGTCATAGTTTTGAGATAATAAGTCCAAATTATGAGATGCTGAGTCACATTTATAAATTGCTGAGTCTTATTTATGAAATGCAGAGTCATATTTATGGGATGCTGAGTCATATTTATGAATTTCTGAGTCACATTTATGATATACTGTCATATTTATGGGAGGCTGAGTCATATTTGTGAGATGCTGAGTCATATTTATGGGATGCTGAGTCATAATTATGAGATGCTGAGTCATATTTATGATATACTGTCATATTTATGGGATGCTGAGTCATATTTATGAGATGCTGAGTCATATTTATGATATACTGTCATTTTTATGGGATGCTGAGTCATATTATGAATTTCTGAGTCACATTTATGATATACTGTCATATTTATGGGATGCTGAGTCATATTTATGAGATGCTGAGTCATATTTATGATATACTGTCATATTTATGGGATGCTGAGTCATATTTATGAGTTTCTGAGTCACATTTATGATATACTGTCATATTTATGGGATGTTGAGTCATATTTATGAATTTCTGAGTCACATTTATGATATACTGTCATATTTATGGGATGCTGAGTCATATTTATGAGATGCTGAGTCATATTTATGATATACTGTCATATTTATGGGATGCTGAGTCATATTTATGAGTTTCTGAGTCACATTTATGATATACTGTCATATTTATGGGATGCTGAGTCATATTTATGAGATGCTGAGTCATATTTATGATATACTGTCATATTTATGGGATGCTGAGTCATATTTATGAATTTCTGAGTCACATTTATGATATACTGTCATATTTATGGGATGCCGAGTCATATTTGTGAGATGCTGAGTCATATTTATGGGATGCTGAGTCATAATTATGAGATGCTGAGTCATATTTATGATATACTGTCATATTTATGGGATGCTGAGTCATATTTGTGAGTTGCTGAGTCATTTTTATGAGTTGCTGAATCACATTTATGAGTTTCTGAGTCTGATTTATGATATCTCATAAATATGACTTGGGATTTTATTTATTTATTTATTGTTTTTGAAGTGGCACATATGGGCTTCCGTAGACAATCAGTTTTTCTCACCAAGAAGGACGATATTAACTGTTACTCTGAACATGATGGATGATGTTCTGATCCAAAAGCTCGGTCAGATGCTCTTGTTCCACCTGACAGAAACAAGAAACAGAACCGGTTTTAAACCATTTTCTCAAACGCACTCCCCGCTGCCTAATAAATCAAAACAAGCCCAACAAGCGTCTGCTGGAACCAACAGAGACTAAAACTCTAAAGCACCTTTTGGGTCCGGGCTGCAGGCGGTTCTGGATCTGAAGGCCACATCATGTCTCCACAGCCGTCGCTACATTACAGGCCTGTTGTCCCACTTCAGAGCCATCGTTTCAGATAAAGACAGTACTTTGGCCAATCAGAACCATCTGGGCTCTGAAACCAAACTGTATAAAGACGCCCTCCCACTAAACGCTGTGGAGTCAGACTTATTAAAGAGCCGAGACGTAATCTAACAAGCCAGGAATGGGAAACTGCACCCAGTCGGACGGCTCCTTTGTTTGAGGGCGACGGCCACATCAAGCTGGGTTTGGGTTGGTTTACAGTGAAGATGTTGGCTCGTTCTGGAGTCGTGCTCGAATCAAACCATAGTCAGAGTTAAAGTTGGAGCAGACGTGGGCGGCTGAAGCGTCGCCCTGTAATGTCAAATCAGAGCAGGATCACAGCTCTGCTGGCAACGACGCAGCAAAGTCCCGATTATCAAAAGGCTTCATTTCACGTTCAGGATGACGACAGCGTGGAACCGCTGCAGGTCCTTTGTTCTTCTGGGAGGTATTCTTCTGGGGTCCGCTCCGTGTTGTGTGATGACTGCCATGACCTGCAGAATGTCGCGGCGACCCTCCTGGCCTCCCCCTGCTCCAACTTCCTTGCGTTTGAGCCACAAGTGAGGCCTCGATTAACACGAATGACACGTATACGTTTACCAAGGAGCGAATAAAGTGAGTGACCGTCAGAAAAGGGTGGATTGCTCTCTTCACTTCGAGGATGAGGTTCTGCCTCGAGTATCTCGATTTTATTCACGAGTGAGGGAAAAATGGAGCATGAGATTGACAGACGGATCGGCGCAGTGTCTGCAGTATTGTGGACTCTGTGCCGGTCCATTGTGGTGAAGAGGGAACTGAGCTGTAAGGCAAAGCTCTCTGTTTACCGGTCTTTATGTTCCTACCCTCACTTGTGGTCACAAGCTCTGGGTAGTGACAGGCTGAGAAGTTCAGTTATCCTGGAGAGACTCGGAGTAGAACCGCTGCTCCTCCTCACCGGGAGGTGATTCAGGCATCTGGTAAGGATGCGGGCACCTCCCTAAGGAGGTGCTATGGTCATGTCCGACTTGGAGGAGACCCAGGACACGTCTCTCTGGTGGCCTGGGAACGACTTGGGGTCCTCCCAGAAGAGCTGGAAGAGGTGGCTGTGGACTTCCCTGCTCAAGCTGCTGCCCCGAGACCTGACTTGAGAACCAGTGGAAGATGATGGATGGATGGATGGATGGATGGATGGATGGATGGATGGGTCAGAAGACAAAACCAAAGGTTGTTGCCTGCTGTCCTTTCGAGAGTAACATATGACATAATCACGTGCCAAACAGCAAAACACTCCTGGAATCAGTTGCATAAAACAGAATTCTTCTCCACATCTCGAGTTTCTGCAGCACTCCAGATGTTAAACGCTCATCTTTAGCGTATAAACGCCCCAACCGTTGCTCTGAGAGGTGACCGAGGTGCAGAAGGACTTCGCCCACTGCTTCTGAGCGCTGACACGGTTTTTCCAGCCCGCTGAGCTCAGACAGGTAGGCAGATATAAAAACTGCACTGCAGGAGCTACAGTGTGTTGTTGCAGGAGGGGGAGGGAACACAGACAAGCTGGAGCAGATGTGCACATCTGCACTCCAGGGGGAAGGGAGACGAAGCTGCACCGATCAGAGATCGCATGAAGTCAGCAAAGAAATCCTCGGTTTGATTACTCCTCTGCAGAGCTGCATGACATCATCGCTCCACGACCGACAGAAATAACAATCATTTGATTCCTTATAATTTGAGATCTCGGCATGAAGCAAAATTATGTCTTTTGTCTTCGCCTGCAGGGAGTTTCCTGCGCGGTGAATAACAGAGGCCAGAGCCACTTGCAGAAACACGACCCGACAGAATTCACTTACAGAACAAACGTTATCAGAAAACGTGCAGAAATCAAATTAATTTGTCCCGTTTGGTTCGGCACACTGGCCCCGATCGTGTTGTAGAAAGCAAAATGAGTCCAGACAGGTCGCATAGTTGGGGGAATTAAAGTTCGGCACAGGAAGTTATTGCAACCGTCATGTGGATTACAACCTTAAACAAGCCTTCGGGAGCAGTACTGCAGGAAAAATGAACCTTTTCAGCTCCTGTAGAAAACTTTACAGTAGTTTTTGTGCAAACTTGCTATAAATCTGATAGTGGGGGGGAGTCATACTTGACAGGTGTGTTAACAAAGACTAATGCAAACAGGAAGTACAGGGCTGTGTGGGTAGTCCAACAACAAACACACAATGGGACCACACACACACACACACACACACACACACACACGGTGCATCAGAGCCTGAAAGTCTTGGTTCAGAAGCCTCCTCCTCTTCACGCAGCTCATCAGCTGAGAGCTTCTGCTGGGGGGAATGTGCTTCCACACAGGGAGGTGTCAGGTCTACGCAGGAAGCAGGTTGGACGTGCCCAAACCCAACATGTCTCTGCAGGGTCAATTCTGCTGCCGTTTGTTTCTGGAGCACGCAGGCCCAACGTCTTGGCAGTGAGTCTGGTGCGAGCCCCGGCCTGCAGCTGGCTGCCGGACACGTCGTGTGGAGACCACGTGCAGCAGCCGGACTCTCTGCAAGCTCCAAGCGAGGTCGGAAAGAAACGTCCAACTGGATCAGCAGAAACATCAAACACTGGAGAACCTTCTTCTGGTGCAATAAATCATTTCAAAATAAAAGCTTGGGGATTTTTTCCCCCCACATTTTATTAAAATGATCCTTTTTTTTGTAACCAAATATAAACAGAGGTGTCAAACTCCATTAAATAAGAAACAAAAAACATTTAAACTCATATTTAAATAAATAAACGTGCTACTCCATCACAAATATAAATTTCCTGACATTTAGACAAGATTTAGAACAAAAACAGCTGCTTGATCATTTAAGATCTATTCAACAAATCATGTTTTATGCTTTTCGAACCCTTTTTAAAAATTTTATTTATTGAAGAAGATTTTAATGCACCTTAGCTCAACTCAAATACCTGATAACTTTTCTGGGCTCGTTTATTTTCTGTTTCTGCATAAAAAATTAACTGATTTCTAGAAAATTTAACTTTTTTTTTTGCTTTAAAGTTGTGAAGTTGCTACTAAAAGTTCTCAGTTTGAAGCATAAGAAGAAGCAACAGAGACTTGGTCATGGCAAGTTAGGTTTAAAATATTGTCTCAAGGACGGACAAATCTGACACAAGGGCCGGGTCTGGGCCGCGGGCCTTCACTTTGACACGTGCTGCATGAAAAGAGGTGTTTTTATTTATCTCCAATTGAAGCTTTAGGGACCAGGACTGAATGTTTTTGTTGTCACAAGTTCAAATCTGAATTTAGGCTGCCTTAACATTTTAAAATAAAGTAAAACTAACTCATATATATATATATATATATACACACACAAACATATGCAAACACCTCCTTTGGTGCTGGTCAGAACGTGATCAGCTTTTTAAATGAATGCGCAATTACGCGTCACGTGACGAGTCAATCTGTGCAAAAAGCAGAAGTTGACGCTGCCCGGAAGCTCTGTGAACAACAAATATCTTCATCTTCACCTCCTACCTGAGAAGCTGCGCCTCGAGGGACCCGTCCACAGGTAACTCCTGCCTGTAGCTGTTTGGAGCCGTGAGCGCAGGCTCCGGTTCCACCTGGAGCTTTACGCGCGTCTGACGGCTGGACTCATTAAAAGTGGAGGACGGGATGGGGCCACAAGTCTCCCCCCGGTTCGTCCGTCCCACTCCAGGCTTCCAGTTTTTCACACAGGCAGAAAAAAGTAATCAGATCCGGAGAGGACGCGCAGGAGAGAATGGAGAGGTGCGCGTCACGCTGCCGCTTCAAGGAGCAGATTCTGCTCTGCAGCAAGTCCAGCCGAGAAAGAAGCGCTTCTCGTGTGTTTGTGAGGCTGACAGAGCAGGTTCACCCTGACTCTGGGCTGGTTTTACCCCTGAAGCTCCTCCTAACCAGAGCCCGGCTGTGCGCCAGCCTCAAGGTGTCACTGGGCTCCCCACGGACGGTTGGCTGAAATTTCACTTTAAAGCTCCGTGAGGTTCGCCAGTAAAAGAACTCATTGTTTGGACCATGTGGGTCTTTGCTGAGTCAGCATTTATACTATGTATTGTTTTTTATGTGTACTTTTTTAAAAAATCTAACTTTAGCTGTTTCAGCCATTGGTGCACCAAAACAAAACAAAAACAAAAAAACATTCAGCTATTTTGGGTGCTGTGACTTTTGGTATTTGTAAGTTTAACAGCTTTCGAAAATATTTACTTTGTTTACAAATATTTCTTCTCATTGAAATTTATTGAGATCTTTAAATTTATTTATTTATTTGTCTTTGAAATCTGCTTAATACTAACTCTACCTTTTATCTTCCTATTTCTAGCTACGGTTCGGCTACTTTTAGCAAGCCTTTAGGTATTTTACTACTATTAGCTTTTTGTGACTTTTACCTTCATATTACTACTTAGCTGTTTTAGATTTTAGCTAACTTTTGACACAAATGGATTTTAGCTAGAATTGGATTTTTAGTTAGCCTCTATTATCTTTAGCTTT